ATTGGTTTTTAAAAACCAATTATGATTTGAGAAGCATATTTGAATAGCATTACCTCTTAGTTTTGGTCATTACTGTGGTCATCATGAGACTAGAATGAACACAGTACCAGATTTCTTGTGACCCATGACTGGAATGAATTATAAGTAACAATAATAATAATGATTTTTGTTACTATTATTATTAAATATGTAATGTCCAGAAGGCATGGACACTGATGGTAGTTTTAATCAAGGACATGTTGTGGATCTTGCTTTCTGCAGCAGATGCTGGTGACCTTGCAATGTAACCTGAAGAGCCTGAAGTGGTTCAGGATCCTGTCCTGAACTGAGCTCCATGTACTCGACCGTTTACACCATAAGAATGTTTCTCTCACATGTTCTAACCTCTTGATAAATATTTATCCTCTCTTGGACTTGGATCCATTTATTTATTTAGTTAGTTAGGGAGCAGGAAATTTGTGGCCATCAGTTCAGACCACAGGAAATCTGATTGGGCAGGTTGGAGACCAGCCAGTAGAGTGCCCTAATTAGCAGGAACATGTAATTAAAATTTAAGCAGATGTGGCTTGGGCAGGTGGTATTTCCTAAATGCATTTAGTTTCCTGTGTGTACACATTATATGTAATGGCTACAAATAAATACTCCTTCTGCAGCTGAGAAAAATACTGGTGCATATGCTGAGCAGTTGGTCTGTGCGGGTGCTGTGCACTCACCCAGCACCACAGAAACTGCCACAGCTCAGCTCTTAATGGACTGAAATGGGTTCTGAAATCCTGAACATATGTAAACTTTTTTTTAAAACTCGGCCTGGACAAAGTTTGTGAGTAGGAAAAAGGACATATGCATGGGAGGCTATAAATATAATAACCCCATATCATGTGTTTCTTGCATTCTTTTGTGATTTTCTGCTTCCAGCTACTGTTGGGAGCATTATATTAGGCAAGAGAACACTTGGATCTGATGTAACTTTACAAATAATGTGAATTCATTTTGACTCAACAAATATGTAAACAACTACTCAGCTGAAAACTTAGCCCATGAAAATTCCAAAATGATATTTGTTTTTAGTTCTTATCTATCTTCCAATAATTGCTTTATCAACTGTATCAGCCACTGGAAGAAAATTAAGAGTAAAACATTACAGTTTAAATTTGGGAATAATGCACTTAGACTTTTAACTCTTCAAAACTGTAATTCAGATTATTATTTCTAATAGGCCCTGAAGTTTAGGCCATTTCCCCATGCTCACTGCAGTTTAGACATTAAATCCATAAAGAAAACTGACAAACTGAACTTGAAGTTCTTCATATTTGAGGGTAAATTTTGTCCCTATTGATTTTTAAGATTGAATCTGTAGAATCCATCTGCAGTTTTAGATTTGTTTCGGGGGGG